AAAGAGAAATAGAAAGAAAGGGAGCAAGGAAGAAAAAATGGTTAACTGCCAGTGGCACAAAATATTGAGGTATCAAAATATGCTCATCTGACCGTGATTAAATGCCTATAAAACCAATAAGCTTTCGGGGCTCTGCCCCCTGGATTCCACCTAGGGCCCTAAGGCGGGCCCTTAGATGCTCATCTATAAGGTAAAAGACCATATTTTTGTGAATGTCTTGTGTGTGCTCTGCAGGTCACATTTCTTAAAGGACTTCTTTCAAATGTTGTATGGAGGTGTGTCTTAGTACATCTACACACATATTGTTTTGGTGATGCTGCTCCTAGTCTTGACAACAGTCAAGCCACTAGTGGCGATCTCTACGTCATCCTTTTGTTTCAGGGAGGGGAGAGGGGATCTTTGTCTCTCCTTCGAACATAAGGATGACACAAAATCGCTGCCACTGCCGGGGGATACATTTGCATTGCGCGGCAATACAGATTGCGATATTTCTAGTTTTTGTTTGTTTATATCATTCTGTCATTTTCTCTTTATATCGTTCAACTTATTCTTTGTTTTCATTAACTGGTAGGATTCCAGAGTGCCCCCATTTTACAGTAATTAAAAGACGCATACCAAGTGGACATTTCATATATTTGCAATGACGTTCTTCGTCATTGCATTGTTTTCGTTCACATTCTGGCCTATAAATATTCTTTGCAATGACGAATATCAGGGGCCTATCTAGCTTTTTGCCAAGGGGGGGGGGGGGGGGGGCGGTTGACCCAATGACGAGCGGCAATGCGATTTTTTTTGGTGCTATTTTGAACCCCCGTATTAAGTGATCTTTTCCTGGCTGGCATCTACTAACATGCGGAGCATCGTCCTCGAGCCGCAAATATAAAAGTCCCTATTCTTCTTCTTAGGACTTATCGTCCAGAAATCCCATTCGTTTTGCACGTAGTGCTGGTTATTCCTACTTGGGTGCTTTTCACATGTCCTTTTCCTTTCAAATTTCGTAAGCATAGTCTCTAGCATCTCATCAAGGTCACTACATTCTTTGATTTTGAAATCACCCATGCATAACCGTCCAAGCGCCAATTTGTCCGTTTCTGGTCCGTTTCATGAAGCCTTTCTTTCTTCCTTCTTTCCTATCTCAGCTATCCTAGATCCTACAGAGTGCTAACAAATTCCTGTAGATAGTCTACGTGATGTTCCTTCATCTACGACGTATAATTTAATCTTTAAAATGTCATATTGGTACTCGAAATTCAAATCCGAAACCGACTCCGAAAAAATTTCTAAACTTCTTAAAGAATTTAGGGGAACCCGGGTAAAGTGGAACGCGGGGCAAAGTGAAACACGCCCGGTAAATTTTTGTTTATGCTGCCATCTAAGTTCATGTGCCAATAACACTGCAACGAGGATGCATCGTTTGTTACCGGTGTTGCGCGAATACGTCAAGTATGTGTACATTTTACGGAAAATATCCGTTTTTCATACATAAAAAACGATAATTAATATAAGTATATTATCTGCTAAAATACTGTGTCAAAGTTTCCGCGCTTCACGGAGGAGAGAGGGGAAACTCACCCCTCCCTGCACCCCACCCCCCCCCCCAATTACGTCACTGTTGGTCACCATTACGTACCAATATTTGGCTCGCATAATTTCAAATATGGGCCCCCCTAAGAAATCCTGGATCCGCGCCAGTGGCGGATCCAGGGGGGGGGGGGGGGCCCGGGGGCCCGGCCCCCCCCCCCCCCCTGGCAAAAAAAGAAGGAAGAAAAAAAAAAGGAAGAAAAAAAAGGAAAAAAAAGGGGGGGAAAAGGGGGAAAAAAGGAAAAAAAAAAAAAAAAAAAAAAAAGGAATAAAAGGAGAAAGATATCAAAGGTATCAAATATGCTCATCTGACCCTAATTAAATGCCTTAAAATCCCTTGACTTCCGGTGGCTCTGCCCCCTGGACCCACCTAGGGCCCTAAGGCGGACGGCTGGATGCAAATCTGACAGTAATTGAATGCTTAAAACCCCTGAGCTTCTGGGGTCTCGGCCCCCTGGACCTCACGTCAATTAGTGTCCTGCCAGTGTCACAAATAAGGTATCAAAATATGTTCATCTGACCGTAATTAAATGCCTATAACCCCTAAGTTTCCGGGGCTCCACCCCCTCAACCCCACCAGGGGCACTAAGGCGGGTCCCTGCATGCTTGTCTGACCGTTATAAAATTCCTAAAACCCCTGAGCTTCTGGAGGCTTCGCCCCCTGGACCCCACGCCAACTAGTTACCTGCCAGTGTCACAAATACTATTATTAAACCTCTGAGCTTTTGAGGGCTCCGCCACCCGGACCCAACACCAATTTGTTTCCTGCCAGTGTCACAAATAAGGTATCAAAATATGCTCATCTGACGATAATTTTATGCATAAAACCCTTTGAGCTTTTTGGGGCTCCGCCCCCTGAACCCAACACCAATTTTTGTCCTGCCAGTGTCACAAATAAGGTATCAAAATATGCTCATCTGACGATAATTTAATGCATAAAACCCCCTGAGCTTCTTGGGGCTCCGCCCCCTGGACCCAACACCAATTTGTGTCCTGCCAGTGTCACAAATAAGGTATCAAAATATGTTCATCTGACCGTAATTAAATGCCTATAACCCCTAAGTTTCCGGGGCTCCACCCCCTCAACCCCACCAGGGGCACTAAGGCGGGTCCCTGCATGCTTGTCTGACCGTTATAAAATTCCTAAAACCCCTGAGCTTCTGGAGGCTTCGCCCCCTGGACCCCACGCCAACTAGTTACCTGCCAGTGTCACAAATACTATTATTAAACCTCTGAGCTTTTGAGGGCTCCGCCACCCGGACCCAACACCAATTTGTTTCCTGCCAGTGTCACAAATAAGGTATCAAAATATGCTCATCTGACGATAATTTTATGCATAAAACCCTTTGAGCTTTTTGGGCTCCGCCCCCTGAACCCAACACCAATTTTTGTCCTGCCAGTGTCACAAATAAGGTATCAAAATATGCTCATCTGACGATAATTTAATGCATAAAACCCCCTGAGCTTCTTGGGGCTCCGCCCCCTGGACCCAACACCAATTTGTGTCCTGCCAGTGTCACAAATAAGGTATAAAAATATGCTCATCTGACGGTTATTTATTGCCCAAAACCCCTGAGCTTCCGGGGGCTCCGCCCCCTGGACCCCACGCCAATTCGTAACCTCCCAGTGCAACAAATAAGGTATAAAATCATGCTCATCTGACAGTAATTTATTGCCCAACAATGGGCACATCAACACGTTTTTAGATTTTTGCTGTTCACGCAGTTTGATTTTATTACTTTAATATTTGACAAGTAATATTTGGCACAACAAAAGACACGGCAGCATCGAAGAATCAGAATTCATGTACATGACCACACATGGGTCCAAGTCAAACAACAGCGTACATGGTTACTTTCGATAGGTCATATATCAAAGTTTGACGGGACGTGAGAACCTAGAGTAAAATATGTTTGTGTAACTCTGAACCATCTATATGATCCATAATATGATTTTTCGACGACGTACCATTTCTCGAATATTAAAGCAGTCATTTATACTTTTATATGCCGAAAAAAAATAGACTAAAAAACAAAAAAACAAAAACAAACAAACAAACTTTTGTCGAAGATGGGATTCGATCTCTTGCGTACAAAAGGTGATGTATCTAAAACCAGCGCCTTAAACCGCTCGGCCATCGCGCTCTATTACTATACTAAGCAGTTTTCTCTAATATATACATTAAAATGGATTGAAAACGGCTTCGCGTGGTGGATGCTTCGCTGCTGGTCCATTAAACGGGCCCTTCTTTTACTTTTGCAATGCATATTGGCACGAACTTAGATCTAGATCTATTGGCAGATGTTGTTTTTTTGTTTTTGGAAGTTTATTTTCGTCTTCATGTCAACAATGCAAGATAAAATTGTCGGTAAGATCGATCGAGATTCAATTGTATTGAAATTACCGACCAATTCTTCGCACACGTACGGTATCCTCGATCGCTCAAACCATTTTTTAACATGTAAACCTATGGGGTAACCATGGAGACTGAACTATTTTCCCGGTAACCATGGTTACTGGGAATTTTACAGAAATAGTTAAAGTTTATGAATGCGATTTCGATCAATCAGATGGCTGGATTTCTTAAGTGAGGTATATAACAACCATTAGTTGTCGAATCGACTTAAGTGATTGCAATCACCTAAGTAATAGTCTGATTTTCAGAGCCTTTGACCGAATGGTCGTATGTTTTGTGCTGCACAACGACTCAATCAGTTTAATTTTGGCCATTACAAGTAGTGGGTTATTGATGTAGACAAAATTGCTCATGTACCTGTTACAGCTCATTTTATGTATGTTATTACCAAAGAAAAAAAGATGTCAGTCAGTCAGTCAATAGTATAGTATTAATGACTACTTTGAGAGAAATAGTTGTTTTTATACGCTCAAGGGAAGGTTAGAATTGTGCTATTACCCGAGGCGTGCCGAGGGCAATAGCCCAATTGTAACCTTCCCGAGAGCGTATAAAAACAACCATTTCTCGAATATTAAAGCAGGCCTTGGCCCCCCCCCCCCCCCCCCTCCCCCCAAAAAGACGGGCAAAAAAAAAGGTTTTAAAAAAAAGTTACCCTTTTTGGGGGGAGTAAAAACAAAGCGCTCACTATGCCACCCCCCCCCCCCCCCCCCCCCAAATGAGCGAAATATCGGCGGCGCGATTTTCAAATTTCCGGGGTCAAAATAGAAAAAAAAAAAATTAGTGCTCGCTATTCCCCTATTTAGATCCTGCTCGATCTAATCATTGTATTTTAAAATATTTGAGAATACGTTGGTACAATGAGTAAATAATATTTTGTATTCATAATGCTATGATCAAGATTTTTAACATTTAAAATACAAAATTAAAAAAAGAGAATGGATGCACCCTACACGAACCTAACAACGGAGTAAGTCGAGCGAGGTATCCTATGATATCGACATTATCATATCTCCCCATTTTTGTTGAAGATTTTTTTGTACATGGGTTTCATTTCTTGATTTTTTGTGCTCTCCTTCTCGTCGCTCTCTTTATTGTTAGAATCGTCGTCATCCTCGTCGTCAACGTCTTTGTCGTTGGGTTCCTTCTCTTTTCGTGGACAGTTCTTCTCTCGATAGTAGGTGACGATCTTATACAAGAAGATCACGGTAAAGGAATCGATGTTTATGAAACAGAGGTAGAGGGAGGGATAGAAGAGCATGTCAAGAAAGAGAGGAGAGTCAGCGAAGGTGACGACGGTTATGGTCAAGGCCAAAGATACGTTCTGTGAACCGGTCTCGAAGGCGATGGAGCGGCACTTCTTATGAGGTTGACGGAGCAGGCGCGCGATACTGTAACCCATACAGAAGCCTATCATCGGAAGTATTGCGGCACAGAACCAGAGCCTCCATCCAGCCTTGAAAAAGGCAGGGTTCATTATGATGCTGATGGCGATGGCGAAAATGAGGCAGATGAAGGAACAGACGATGCCAATCTAATTGTGCAGAAAAGGAGAAAGGTCATGGAACAATGCAAAACTCAAGTTTTACAATCTGCCGTCCTCTTATGTTGAATGTACATCCTGAAGTTTCAACTGTTATATACAAATATTATCATAAATTTCGGAACTCTGAACCTTCTTTAAAGTAAAGACTTTTGAAATCATGTTTCTTTTTTGGAAATTGTGTTTAATGTGTCTTATGATCAGTTTTTGATAACACTGCCAATCTTGGACATATATCAGGATAGAGTAACCGGGAGAGTAACCCAAGAGGACAATCAACATGCCCATTTAACACGATCGTACGAATAGGGTATTAATAATGTGCTTGTCATGAGTTGATTTTTCGAAAATATTTGAGATCTGGTAGTTGTCAATAACGGGGGTCGGACCGCGGAAGATGCCCCCATGATAGGCCTCTGCCTGTCAGCCTACGTAGCTAGCATACTAAATTCCCGGACTAAAATAGTAGGGAGGTTATAGCACAGGACATAATTATGTCTAAAAGAAGACTTAATTTCAAGCACGGCATAGCATTAAAGAGGGCATGGCAGATGGCACCTCCTACAAGCTTCCAGTGTAGTTACTTATTCTTCTGTTCAATAACAGAAGAATGGCCAGACCATTTACATGATTTACAAACCGAATACGCAGATTACTGGCAAAGTCCTATCCCTCACCCTAGTAATATGCTTAGTCAGTGATTTTTTCCACCAATTCAGGAATACACCGAAAGCGACGGGGACGAGGATGATGACCAGAGTTGTAACGATGTTGACATAGGGAATGATCGCCTTGTCGTCGGTCCACACACGGCTATAGATGAAGAGATTGAGGGGCATCATTCCGATAGCAACCGCTGTCGAAGCTGCTGTCATGCACACGCTTTTTGAGAGAAAAGAAGAGGGGGGGTGTTTAGACATATTCATCCTATTCGCCTTGTCTTTAAATTCATTATAAGAAATGGCGAACATCAGAGTATAGGGACAAAACTTGTAATAAACAAAGACAAACGTGTTAGGAGCAAGTAATTAAAATGTTCCTTTTGAAATAATTTTTTCCTTAGAAATTAATTTCAATCTGCTTCTTCACATTAAAAAATTAGCCAGTAGGTCAATTGGACTATGGATTTGAAGAGAAGGTTGAGTTCTGGGAAGAGGTGAAAAATAATTTGTAGGCGTTATCATTCTTATTATGCAAGTGTGGAAGAACATCAGATAAGACATGTTCCCTGAAAAGCATGGCTCTTCAAATGCCTTCATATTCTAAATATGTCATATAACATCGTAAAACTCGGGGGTGGGATTTTTAAGCCACGTGTTCGTGTAGTCCCATATACATCTTTCTGTGTACAGACCTTTTCTGGTCGATTCCACACCGTTTCTTTCACAATGCAATCGCATGACCAGAACTCAACTTCATCTTTAATAGCGTCTCATTGCATGATTACGTCTATTTGTGCTTCGATACATTTCGCTAGTTTGCCATTTATTATCGTCTTACTGATTTTGAGTAGACATTCTATATGACCCATTATTAATAAAAATATGTTTTTATATTAATCTTTTTGAAGAAAACTGAGTAAGGAATGGATTTTTTTTTCTTCAAGAGTCCTTGAGCAAATCTGACGCAATTCATTCAGGTGATAATATAATTTATATACATCTGAAATAACAGAAGAAGTTAACTATTTGATTAAAGATTTTATTACAATCTTACGAAATGCGGTGCAAATTATGTCGCTTCCTCCTCCATGGAGTTAAATAAAAACATATATTATAGGTTTTTATTAAATGATAAACCACAGTTTGATGCGGAAGTATTTTCTGAACTATTCAGAGACTTTATTTTGTTTAAAAACTACTCTTTTTGAGAGGGGGGGGGGGTGGGCTTGAGCCAGCACATCCATCATCTGCATGTAATATTCCAGATTTCCCTACATAAATCTATGTTAATCCACGTACCTGAGGCAGACATCTCCATCGACCCAGTAGGTGTAGAGATTAGAGAGGGTGCCACCGGGGCAGCAGGCAAGGATTAGCAGTGATAGAGCCCCTGCTGAAGGTAGTTGAAAGGCTAGTGCAATACAAAAGCCAATCAGGGGCATAAGGACGAACTGGCATAACATACCAATGAAGAAACCAGTTGGACGACGGATCTGTGATATCATATTATGACAACAACAATTATGATGATGATGATGATGATGATGATGATGATGATGAAGATAATGATAATAATTATAATAATCGTCATCATCATACTACCTTCACCAATACAACTACCACCCCACTACTATTAATACTACAAGTACTACTATTTATATTAAAAATTATACAAATAAGAGTATCAGTAAACACTGGTTGGGATCCCAGGGGCGGGCGCTTTTCTAATATTTTCGCTGCCCCCCCCCCCCCCCCCGGCTAACGACAATAAAACTAGTGAAAACTACCCCGAAAAGACATTGCGTCACATCAAACATCTCCTATTATTCAAATAGTGAATTTACATTTTTAAGAAGAACGACTAAACACACACACACGCGCGCACACGCACACACACACACACACACACACACGCATGTACAGCACTGCAGTAACACTATGCATAATCACCGTGCGTAACCCCGTCATCTTTTAAACAGGGGAGAGATTAATGTCAGTTGGGATATTGATATTTATATACCTCATACATAGATTGTCATTCACTGATTGGTCAAGACTATATCATATGACAAGGAGCATTTCGATCTATCATTGCGTCGTTCTATCAAACCCTGTGATAGTACTCCAAATCCCTGTAATAGAACTCCTAACCCCTGCGCGACCTTTGCACACACACACAGCGTACAAGATTCCCCCCAGCGCGCAATTAGGCAATTTTCGCAAACTCATTGCGGAATTAGAATCTGCGGTTCGTGTGAAAAATCGAGAAGATACTATAGTAACAGTTGGATGACCGCTGAGGCCCTGAAATCTAGAACGGGTTTTGGCCAAATCTACAGGCGTTCTCAATGACGCCCCAAGTGAATCAAGTGCCTCGATTCAAACTATTTCATTCACCTGATAATAATAATAGTATTTAAATAGACAGAATCCAATCTGCATACATTAGTTGTTGCCACACTTAATACATGCAGTTTGCATTCTGACTATTGCGAATCCTAGACAGGTGAATGAAATAATTTGTATTGAGGAACTTCACAAAGACGTATTACGAAAATGGCCTGTTCCATTCCACGCAATGCAGTACAGACGGGACTACACGACTAGCACAATTTGTCTCGATCAAGCCACAAAACGGCTTTTTATCAAATTTCAACAATAATTTATCATCAAGTTTTAAAACAATTCATGTTATATCCATATTCATGTTGTTGTTGTTCAGAAACAATAATCGGAAGAAACAAACCTCACCGAAGAGTCATTCGTGTCAGGGGCGGATCTAGGGGGGTTAGGCGGTTTAAATCCCCCCCCCCCCTTGGGCTGGCCAAGGTGCTTTCTACCCCCCCCCCCCCCCGAAATATTGGTTGGCACTTTTTTCAAATTGAAAACAAATTTTAGCGCTCCCTACCCCCCACTTAGCAAAATATTGGTCGGCGCCATTTTTCAAATGTCAACTTGACAGTGAAAGAAATATTTTGTATCGAGGCACTTCACAAAGACGTATGCATTAAATTTGGTTACATTACGAAAATTGCCTAATGGCATTGCAAATGCAATACCTCCGTACAGGGAGGTGAAAGAACAGGAGGCGAAACTCTTGTAATTTATTCAAACGCATTCTTGAGTTCTAAAGCGTAACAATGGGATGTGTAACATTCCACTTGGCTTTGAAGTTCCATGCTCCGAACCGCGCTTCCACTGCGGAGAATTTCGTAAGCCAGGCACCAGTTTTACATTTATTACAAAATATCAAATTACCGGCAAAATTACAGTGTAAATTAAAAACTTTATATGGGAATTTTATTGGGAATAGTGCATCAAACAAATTTTCAAATTTAGAACTCCGTCCTGCCTTTTAATTGTGTGCCAGAGTTGGTAAAAGAAAAATTACATCCTGTCAAAAACTCAATATTTTAGGATGATGCGCTAATTTGTGCATGCTTTAAAGTCCCGTTATTTGATCCATGATTTACAATCTTCAATAACATTAAGTTTGCTAATGCGTGTTTTCGCGTGTTTTTTGTATTTTTCAAGTTTAAAAAAGAATGAAATTACACAAGTTTGTGTTCGCTTGTTCTACTCTTTACACATTCAACAATGGATGAGAAATCATTGGAAGGGACAGCGAACAGTTGCTGTGATACCATTTTCTGATGTAGGAATTCTAAATCCTAAAATTTCATGCGCTCTTTTATCTCACCACCTGGTCAACAGCTGCAGATTAGCGCATAACTTTCCGGCGGCTTGGAGCATGGGGTCAAAGGAGAACGGCTTGATTCAAGTCCTTCTCTATCACGTCCCTGCTCCGTAGAGATACGTACGCATTCACCAAAAAGCGAAACCACGTATTGTATCGAGAACGGTCTGTGTGCGACGGCCGTAAACCTGAGTGCTCTGCGTCCGCGAAGGTTTGTATGTTGCTGAGCGAAAACTCGCTACTCACGCGTTGTCACGGCGCTCTAGCTCAAAATGGTTTCTTCATGTCAACGCAGCTGAAATCAAAGTTGTTGTATTTTCTCGTGGTAAAGTTCGAAAAATTCATATAGACGGTATAGAACTATTTAAATTTGATGATGATATTGTAGAAGTTGTTGATGAATACGTCTATCTTGGAACGGATGAGGTATATAAAACAAATATGGACTGCTCTGTAATCGGATGGTGGTGGGAATTATCACTTCCTCGGTGGTGTTCATACCGGCCATTCTATATCACCCCCTCGGCTTCGCCTCGGGGGTGATAGAAGGGCCGGTATGAACATCCCTTTGGAGTGATAATATACAAATATTGACTGCTCATGAGGATGATGGTAGGAACTACCACTCCAAGGTGGTGTTTACACCGGCCCTTCTATCACCCCCGAGGCGAAGCCGAGGGGTGATAGAAGGGCCGGTGTGAACACCGCCGAGGGAGTGGTAGTTCCCACCATCATCCGATTACAGAGCAGTCCATATTTGTTTTATATACCTCATCCCTTTTATTGATTCATGATTCGGTCTAGCCGTGGGTCTAGATCTAGCTCTAAAAAACAGGAAATGAGGTCAAGAGGAATGTACTCACCAGAATAAGAAAAGTCCAAGGCAAGAGTATTGAATTCCTACGCGCTGCGCGTAACCGTGCGATTGCGGTAGCCTAGCTAGCAACTCAAAAAATTGGTGTACGCAAAGTCGAGGAGGGGTTAGGAGTCCTATCCCAGGGTTTGATAGTAGCTACCAAACCCTCTGACGCAATGATACTTGATAGATCGAAATGCTCCTTGTCATGTGATATAGTTTTGAGCAATCAGTGAATGACAATCTATGTATGAGGTATATAATTCCCACCATCATCCTCATGAGCAGTCAATATTTGTATACTAGCAGAGGATAGACCACACTGAACAGACAAAATAAAATCCACTTTTCCTATCCAGAAACATACGCGCATATATACGACTTACCCTTCGTTTTCCCCGCACATTCTTGCGCGCGTGCACCTTCCCACACCCGAACCTCCTTGTACCCGACCACACGTAAACCTGTACTACTAACCGTCTTTCTAAAATCCTTGTAGTTGAGAGTACATCCCATGGAGATCATGAGAAGCATCAGGAGGATCATGTTGATCACCTTTGTCGCGAGCTTAAGATCCGGACCAGTGTACGGTTCAATCAAGGTTTCGTTCCCCGTCGTGTTCATCGTCCAGTTCATTATTGTCGTCGGCATCATGGTCGAATCTTCCATAGTGTCGAGATTAAAGGTCTGACGAAGATGAAGTATTGGAAGAAAGGAGTGTAGAGTTTGCAGACAATATTGTGATACGTATTTTTCTTAAAGATACTAAGTCCCTTTTGCAGCCAACGTCGAGTTCTGTAGAACTTTGCAGGAATTATGACTATGTCATGTATGTCCTATCTGTGAAATGTTAACATTAGCAGTGTCCTAGTATTCAAATTATGCAAGGAAACCCGTTGACCTTGTATACTTTACTGTCAGACACTATTGACTGACTGACTGACATTTTTTTTTCTTTGGTAATAACGTACTTAAAATGAGCTGTTACAGGTCCATGAGCAGTATACATTCTATTACCCAGTTCCTGTAATGGCCAAAATTAAAATGATTGAATCTTTGCGCAGCACAAAACATACGACCATAAGGTTAAAGGGTCTAAAAATCAGATTATTACTTAGGTGATTGCAATAACTTAAGTCGATTCAACAACTAATATTCGTTATTTTCCCACTAAAAGCCATTTTCAAGCCCTTTCGTTTTGAGAGAAGTTCTAAATTAGTAATGTCTTTCAAATGCCGTTGGAATTTAACCGTTTCACTTTGTTGGCCTGCAAATGGGACATAGTACCTTTAAATACCAGTTAGTCTGCCTACTCTTTCGCTCATTTAGAGGGACAAAACGTACAAACCAAAATGATCATAGACAGCTTGTAAATGTAAACCTGATACATTGTTAATACTATTGCGTTATAAATAGGCAGGACATTCTGACTTATGGATCCTGTCGAAGAGAAGGAGAAGTAATTGTAGTCGTCGTCAATATTGTGGGGCGGTAGGAATAACCCCTTTCAAACATTATAACCTTGAATCAAGATTAATTTCCAAATTTGGCCTCTCTCTACACTGTAAAATTTCAAACTGGTTCGAGCTTTTGTTTACTAACGTGTTTTGTCCCTTCTGTTATGCTATGCTTTGTTTTAATCAGGCAAAACAAAAGTGCTCTTACCCCCCTCCCCCCCCCCCCCCCCCCCCCCCCCGCTTATTCAGCGGCTGGCTGAGTCGTTGCGAAATATTTCCTCAAAAACTGGAGCAAAAAAAAAATTAAAAATTGTGCTCTTACGATTTTTGATTGATATTATAGTAAAAATCATAATGACGATGACAATCGACAATGATTTTAAATGATTGCTGGTGAAACTTCGAAAAAATATTAGTAATTTAGTTGTAATCTCTCTCGAAGTCGTGACAGTGGATAAAAAGTCACGGGAAAAAAAAATAGCGGGTCTACCGACATTATTTACATATCACTGAGTTCAAACTTCTGCATTGATAAAGTATGCGAGGATCGAGCGAGAATACCGACACAGGCACACAGCAACATATCTATGCGTATCTTTCTTGCTCCCTCGACGAGACGACTCCACCCAACAACCCCTTCTCTCTCTCTTACTCCCACCTCCTCCTCTCGATCATGCTCTTACCCCTTCTCTCTCTACTCCTCTCTTTCACCCCCCGTTTCCTTTGTTTCATTTTCTCTTTTCCCCCTTTTTCCCTTTTCTCCTTTTCTTTCTTTTCTTTCCTTTCTTTCTTTTCCTTACATTTCTTTTCAGTTCTTTTTTTCCCTCTCATTTATCTTTTTTCCTCCTCTTTCTTTCTACTCTTCTTTTTCCTTTCTTTTCTTTCTTTTCTTTTCCTTTGTTTTCTTTTCATTTTCTTTCCCTCTAATTTTTCCCGACGGCAGCGCAATTTTACCGACAAAATCCTGATAAGTGGGTGGGGGGTGTCGCACCCCCCCCCCCCCTCCCCCTTGGCGACGCCCCTGGGTCCAGGAGGTTTCAGCGCTTTAAAGATCCGAAAACACATCTCCTTGCATAATTTTTTTTCAATAAAATAACATACTTAAAATGAGCTGTTACAGGTCCATGAGCAGTATACATCTATTACCCAGTTCTTGTAATGGCCAAAATTAAACTGATTGAATCTTTGCGCAGCACAAAACATACGACCATAAGGTTAAAGGGTCTAAAAAATCAGATTATTACTTAGGTGATTGCAATAACTTAAGTCGATTCAACAACTAATATTCGTTATTTTCCCACTAAAAGCCATTTTCAAGCCCTTTCGTTTTGAGAGAAGTTCTAAATTAGTAATGTCTTTCAAATGCCGTTGGAATTTAACCGTTTCACTTTGTTGGCCTGCAAATGGGACATAGTACCTTTAAATACCAGTTAGTCTGCCTACTCTTTCGCTCATTTAGAGGGACAAAACGTACAAACCAAAATGATCATAGACAGCTTGTAAATGTAAACCTGATACATTGTTAATACTATTGCGTTATAAATAGGCAAGACATTCTGACTTATGGATCCTGTCGAAGAGAAGGAGAAGTAATTGTAGTCGTCGTCAATATTGTGGGGCGGTAGGAATTTCCCCTTTCAAACATTATAACCTTGAATCAAGATTAATTTCCAAATTTGGCCTCTCTCTACGCTGTAAAATTTCAAACTGGTTCGAGCTTTTGTTTACTAACGTGTTTTGTCCCTTCTGTTATGCTATGCTTTGTTTTAATCAGGCAAAACAAAAGTGCACTTACCCCCTCCCCTCCCCCCCCCCCCCCCCCCCCCCCCCCGCTTATTCAGCGGCTGGCTGAGTCGTTGCGAAATATTTCCTCAAAAACTGGAGCAAAAAAAAAAAAAATGTGCTCTTACGATTTTTGATTGATATTATAGTAAAAATCATAATGACGATGACAATCGACAATGATTTTAAATGATTACTGGTGAAACTTCGAAAAAATATTAGTAATTTAGTTGTAATCTCTCTCGAAGTCGTGACAGCGGATAAAAAGTCACAGGAAAAAAAAATAGCGGGTCTACCGACATTATTTACATATCACTGAGTTCAAACTTCTGCATTGATAAAGTATGCGAGGATCGAGCGAGAATACCGAAACAGGCACACAGCAACATATCTATGCGTATCTTTCTTGCTCCCTCGACGAGACGACTCCACCCAACAACCCCTTCTCTCTCTCTTACTCCCACCTCCTCCTCTCGATCATGCTCTTACCCCTTATCTCTCTACTCCTCTCTTTCACCCCCCGTTTCCTTTGTTTCATTTTCTCTTTTCCCCCCTTTTTCCCTTTTCTCCTTTTCTTTCTTTTCTTTTTTATTTTATTTTATTTTTTTATTGAAATATATTTAATCAGGATATCAAGAATCAGATATACATTGTAGATACAAAATCTGTTTTACATCATGGTCCTGAACAGGATAAAAACACGGAAATATAAATAACGAATATCACCAAAGCTCACAGGCAAAGGTAAGAACAGTATAAAACTAACATATAAGCATAATACGCATTAAAAATAGTAAAAAGCACAACAAAACAAAAAAACAAACAAAAACGACAATGAAATAAATGAAATTAACAGCGAAAAAAATATCAAATCACATTTAATAAAAGGCATTAAAATATCACCCTAAAAAATAGAAGAGGAGAGAAGATATAAGGAAACTGGTAAAAATTAAAGGAGGAAAGAGGAAAGAAAGAAAGAGGGGAGAGGGAAAGAAAGAAAGAAAGAGGGGAAGAGGGAAATGGAGAGAGAGAGAAAGAGAGAGAGAGAGAGAGAGGGAGAGAGAGATAAGCCATGTCAAAGCAGTAAATGAATCGGCATTGTATTACACAGGTTTAAAAAATTTGTCCTTGTACATACGTTTAAAAACATCGATAGATTTAGCATTTTGAAAAGCAGAAGGTAGACTATTCCAGATTTTACCTCCAGCGTATCTAAAACAATTCTTAAAACATTCAAGATTAGGCTTAGGTAAAACAACATTCAGCGTATTGGCAAGTCTAGTGTTAAAACCATGTCTGTCAAAAACCATTTCCACTTCATTGCATAATCGTACTGGGGCTTTTCCATGAATACAGTTGTACATTATACATGATAAAAAATAGTCCCGTCTAGTGTCAATGGATTGCCATTTTAATGAATTTATTATACTCAAGCTATTTACATTATAATCAAAATTCCCTACGACAATACGTGCAGCTCTTTTTTTGCAGTCTTAAAAGAATATTTCTGTTTTGTAAAGAACAGTTTCCCCATACGGAACAAGAATAATCTAAGATTGGCTGTATGGTACATTTGTATATTTTATTTAAAATGGAAGAGCTTAAAAATTTACTGAGCTTTCTCAAAGTAAAAATCTTATACCTTAATGATTTGGTAAGAGATTTAATGTGGATATCCCAAGATAATCTATCATCAATTTCAATCCCTAAATATCTGATACTTCTTACTTGTTCTATTGTTTCAGTATCAATATGTACCTTCAGACTTAATTCATCGTTACTTCGTGTGTTACTACTCAACAGCATAATATTACTCTTATTAGTATTAATACGTAATCTATTTTTACAATACCATTCATTTATAGCATACAAATCTGCTTGGAGCTTAGATGTAATGACATTAATATCCATATCAGAAACATATAAGACAACATCATCAGCGTATATATTACATGTACTTAATCGTAAGCAATCAGTTATATCATTTATAAAAACAAGAAAGAGTGAGGGGCCTAAAATACTCCCCTGAGGAATTCCTATAGTTATGTCCTTTGATTCGGACAGTTTACCATGACAATAAACTGCTTGTTTCCGACCAGATAAAAAGCTAGAAAACCATTTAAGTTCAGTATTTAAAATACCATACTTATTCAATTTGGACAACAAAAGTTCATGGTCAATACAATCAAAACATTTAGAAATATCAAGAAAACATGCACCAACTTTTTCCTTTTCATTAAAAGATTCGTACCAGTCATCAATGACTCTATGTAAACATGTATTCGTTGAATGATTTGGCAAAAAAGCATATTGGTCAACACTAATAAGATGATTAGTCTGCAAGTAAGATAAAAATTGAGACTGAACTTCCTTTTCAAGCAGTTTAGCAATATGACATACAACTGAGATGGGTCTATAATTTGAAATATTATTTTTATCGCCTTTACCTTTATAAACAGGCGTAGTTCTGGCCAATTTCCAATCATTAGGTAAAAATCCACAATTTAAACTTTCATTAAAAAGACAATTAAGAGAAATATTAATATATTGAGCTGAGATTTGAAGTAATTTTCTATCAAATTCTAAGATATCAAGGCTACTCTCTTTCGACAATAGAGAGAGATTATGTTTAGTTTTCCCGGGACTAATTGATTTCAAGACAAAGGTATGTATACTTTCAGGGTGGTTCCATGATCGTGATTACTGAAAGTTTCTGAAATCTTTGTACCAATATTTACAAAATAATCGTTCAATTTATTACTGTCTAAATCAGATGGTAAAACAGAGTCTTTTTTCCCCCTTCCAGTAATTTTGCTTAACTCCTTCCATAACTTCTTACTATCATTACTGTATCTCTCAGATACTGAATCAAAATATTCTCTCTTCTCTTTTCGTATGAGCTTGGTGACTGAATTCCTGAGATTTCGATATTCAGTCAATAGATATGGAATTTTTAGTCTATCATATTTTTTCTTTAAGTAGTCTCTTTTATAAATGAGTTTAATAATATTAGAATTTATCCATGGGCAGTGCCTAGTTTTAACCCGACATTCTTTTACAGGAGCATGTTTGTTACAACAATTTAAAAAAGCCTGTTTCCATTCAACCCACTTTTCTCGTAGGGGAATACAAAAAGTACAATTATTATTAAGTACGTCAGAATGTTTTAAATCATCAATAAAAGCATTCTCGTTAAAATTCTTATAGTCTCTAAATCGTACTACATTATGAACATTCTTAGAAGTATTGTTGACATTTATACATGTATATATAAAGTAATGATCACTTAAGGATATCTTAGCTACGTCACTTAGTATATGCTTATCTGGTACAGAAGTAAGAATATGGTCTAAACATTTAGAAGAGGTGCCTGTAACCCTGGTGGGTTTATGGATCAATTGTGTTAATGAGAAGAGATTTTCAATCACATTAACAGGATTATCACTAAAACTTGCAGCATCAAACTTATAATCATAATTAAAATCACCCAATATAACTAGGTCCTTATCTTCAGATGCTACTTTCTCAAAAATATTCAGCATATTATCAAAATACATTTCTTTTCAGTTCTTTTTTCCCTCTCATTTATCTTTTTTCCTTCTCTTTCTTTCTACTCTTCTTTTTCCTTTCTTTTCTTTCTTTTCTTTTCCTTTGTTTTCTTTTCATTTTCTTTCCCTCTAATTTTTCCCGACGGCAGCGCAATTTTACCGACAAAATCCTGATAAGTGGGTAGGGGGGGGTGTCGCACCCCCCCCCCCCTCCCCCTTGGCGACGCCCCTGGGTCCAGGAGGGTTTCAGCGCTTTAAAGATCCGAAAACACATCTCCTTGCATAGTTTTTTTTCCCCACTTTTTTTGGGTTGTGGTAAAATAACCATTTCAGGTCTTCTTTATTTTTTCATAATAATATAAACATATTCACATTTTTAGCATTTGCCTCCATTTCTGGAGGGATATTCATGGTTTTCTTATATTTTCTTCTACTTGTAAACGATAATTTAATAGGTAAATAAAAATATGAAGAAGTCTCTGTTTTGTTGTTTTCTTTTTAAATTCTTTTTCAACAAAGCTTTTGTAATGAGTAAAAAGTGCATAATTCAAAATAATATCAACATCTTTTTCCTTCTTTGAATTAAATCAATACCAAACAATAAATGACATGGTTTGAAATTAAAATTAGACATGAAATATTTCTTTATATTCCTTTCAACTTCATTCCAAAACATACTGACTTCGTTACAAACAAAGAACATGTGCATACAATCACCTGTTTGATTACAATAATAACATTGTTCTTTGGCATTAACTTTCCATTTAAACAAATTATATGGTATTGCTAAAAAATTATACAAGAATTTGAAATTGAAATTCATTAGTAAGCTGTCTTTTATACTTTTTAACTTAAATAACCAAACATCTGACCATACAGGTATAAATTCAATTTCCAAAGTATAACGTCAAAATTCCTCCCCTCTAGATTCTTCGATTTTTGTTTTAATTAACTCATGATATATTATTTTAACTGTCAACTGTCTAACTGAAATCATATTCTCATTGTAACAGGTGGTCGACTTCGGCAAAGATACATACCACTTTTCCAAGTTAGCTCATTAATGACTGACAGATGATGTCACAAGGGGAATGAGATCTCGAGGTTTTTTGGGGTGGAGCTTAGCAAGTTTGAAAAACAAATATTTCAAAAAATATTTAAACATCTATCAAACAAATTTAGAAGTTTACATCTCAAAATATGAGATGTACACCAACAGCAATACACTTGTATTTCGATGTCATGGGCCCTTTAAACTCATTTGTACCTAGCTCCATACGAATACTAAATGAGGAAGGTATCATATAGGGCAATAAAACAATAATGATACCTTTCAATAACAATAATAGTAATATTAATAAAGATAATAATAATAATATAATGATGATGATGACATTAGTGACAATTATAATTATAACAATAATGATAATAATAATGAATAATAATAATAATAATAATAATAATGATAATAATAAAAATAATGATAATAATACAAAATAATGATAATATTAATAACAATAATAATCAAGTTAATGAAAGTTCAAATTATCGATACTTGTAAAATTTTATATATATATATATGTGTATCGCAATATAGTGGGGGCTGTTAGGGATATTTTGGTGCAGATTCTTCTAAAAGCACCAAATTTGGCCCAGAGGTAGATTATACCATACTATTACGATTTCTGCCGGACGCCAAGAAGGGCGCTCTCTGGGACTGCCATATTGGGCAAATCCAAAATGGCCGCCATCTGAGTTAAAGGTCAAGCGTAGTTCCAAATAGGAAAAGCGCTTGTACACTGTCGCTCATATAGTTGGAATATTTTTGATTTACCCCAATTTATGGAATTATTTTAAAAATAATTTATAAATAATAGATCTAGATATTTGTATACATTCTCAAATGTTATTGAATAATAATTTGACAATGTGTGTTTGCGTGACTGCTAAAGCATGTGTATGCTACTATGCTTATCAACTAGGGGACCTACGCCCTTAAGTCATAAATGGCAGTAATGAGGATTAATGCCCCACAAAAGGGCACTAATATAGCACATCGACACGGTTTTGATCCTGGGGCCTCACGGTTACGAGGCCATTGCTTTGTCACTGAACCATGACTGTACGCAGCGGGGGCTAGGGTACGAGGCAGTTTCCATAATTTTTTTTTTTTTAAATGCAATAAATTTTCAATAATTTATTGCATTTTACCCCGGTTCCCAACATAAAAAATTCCTCTGTGTGCCATAATGCATGGCCGTCCAGAGGATTTTTATTATGTTGGTGGACCGGGGTAAAATGCAATAAATTATTGAAAATGTATTACATTTTCTGTTTTTTTTTTAATTTATGGAAATTGCCCCCTACCCTAGCCCCCGCTGCGTACAGTCATGGTTCAGTGACAAAGCAATGGCCTCGTAACTGTGAGGCCCCAGGATCAAAACCGTGTCGATGTGCTATATTAGTGCCCTTTTGTGGGGCATTAATCCTCATTACTGTCATTTATGACTTAAGGGCGTAGGTCCCCTAGTTTATAAGCATAGTAGCATACACATGCTTTAGCAGTCACGCAAAACACATATTGTCAAATTATTATTCAATAAAATCTGAGAATGTATACTATTATCTAGATATATTATTTTTTTAATTATTTTTAAAATAATTCCATAAATTGGGGTTAACCAAAAATATTCCAACTATATAAGTCCGTTTTTTTCTCGAAAATAGACTATGTCAAAGTTAATGTACACGAGTCAATTAGAAATAGTATAAGTACGAACAAAATTGTGTACAAAACCTATGGCCGTCCCGGTACTCACTGCTATAACTACTTATAACATAGGCATAAATATAATATTGTATGCTGAGAGCTAAGAGTGCTAAGAGTTGAACAAGAATGGGTCGACACCCTTCAGCTCTCAGCCGACAGTATACAACAAGAATATTATTCAGATTCACATCATTAATGCATTCATACATAAATAGCAAACTGATATGAGTAAAAATACTGCAACTTCCTCCGATAAAAAAGAAGAAGAGAGAGACAGTTAGTGCGATACGAGAAAGAAAAGGAAAGAAAGAGGGACAAAAGGCAAAAAGAAAGAGTGAGAGAGAGAGAGAGAAAAAAAAAGAGAGGTCAATAGTTATGTCTTGACAATCATGACAATAATCATAATTATGAAGTAGCAATTAACCACTCCTTCCAACCCCAACCCTTCCATGCTGCCTGCGACAAACGGTATCGTCTGTGTATCGGGAAGGTTGACAGAAGTCAGTTTTATTAAATAATGGATATTTCTGTCTATGCCTGGTCCTGCCGCGGTTACCTCCCCCCCCCCCCCCCCCCGCCCCCATCACAAATTAACAAGAACAGCCATGATTAGATATTAACAGTGTCAGTGAGTAAATATACTATCAACTAACGTAATATTAGGCTGTACTGCATGTAGACAATAATTTTGTAGATTACAGACATAGAATTATGTAGATAAAACAGATATAAAAGAAACTCACGATATATCCCACGTGAAGCTGAAATACTGCTGTCTACTGCTTCTCGCGCCTTTAGTGGATATGTCCTCACAGTACAGCAGCCGAGCTGGCTTCGCATGCGATTAGTACTATACCTCGTTCCCCCGGAAGAAATCGACTGGAATCATCTATCCGCCGATACGTATATGGTCGTATTTATATACTGATGATTTTTTTTTCTTCTTAGGAATTCTGAGGAATAGCTGTACGTCACTGGAAGATGATGACTCGTTAGTTAGTCCCAAAACACTTATTTCCATGAAATGTTTTGTTTACTCGCGCTTTAATAGTTTCGCTTTATTTGTTGTATTCTACCCCTGGGTCTTGGTTTCGTCATAACTCTTTTAAGGCTGCCTATAATAATTATCATCACCTTTTTATACATTTGTTTACGTATCGACAACGAAAGGGACCGTGAAAATGAGTTGGATACAATGAATGAACTACTGTAGTCCGTCCGACTTGGCTTAATGTCTTTAGGGAGTGATTACAAGAGGGACAAAAGGCAAAAAGAAAGAGTGAGAGAGAGAGAGAAAAAAAAAGAGAGGTCAATAGTTATTTCTTGACAATCATGACAATTATATCATAATTATGAAGTAGCAATTAACCACTCCTTCCAACCCCAACCCTTCCATGGTGCCTGCGACAAACGGTATCGTCTGTGTATCGGGAAGGTTGACAGAAGTCAGTTTTATTAAATAATGGATATTTCTGTCTATGCCTGGTCCTGCCGCGGTTACCTCCCCCCCCCCCCCTGCCCCAGTGGCGGATCCAGGGGTGGGCCGAAACGGCCGCGGCCCCCCCCCCCCCTATTGGCGGCGCCAAAAAAAATTGAGAAGGAAAAAAGAGCCGGAAGAAAAGAAGAAGAAAAAAAAGGGGAAAAAGGAGAAGATAAAAGAAAAGAGAAGAAAAAAGAAAAGAAAAGAGAGAGAGTTTAAAAAAAAAGAGGAAAGAAAAAGAAGAGAGGAGCCGGGGAGAAAGAAAGACAACGAAATGGCACTAAAAATTAGTGACAGGAACGACGAATAAGGGAAAGACAAGGGGAGGGGGGGGGGGTGTGCGTGAAGGCGGATGCATTGAGGGGGGGGAGGGGTGACTGGCCGTATTCTTATTTTTAGGTTATGCGAAACTGAGTCGGAATTATGCTTATTTTCAAAAAATCTTAGCATGCTTGTTTATGTTAAGCCGTAGTGCATGAAAAAGGTTAGTGTAGAAACACTTCTGAAAAGGCCGCGCCCGGCCCCTCCAAAGAACGGAAGAATGGTCATCTATACATTCTGGGGTCATTCCGATGGCTTGGGAGCCGTTATTGAAGTGGGGGCCGGCCCTACTCAAATGGTATTGACGGTAACGATGGATAAGGGAATAAGGAGGAAGGGATGCACGTGCATGCGCGTACGCATACAACATGACAGAGCTTGAGGGGCCTGGTAGAGCCTTTTCAAGAGAGAAATTGTCTTTAGGAGAGAATAAGAGGTTATTTCTAAAATGAAATGAAAGGGCTCCTGACAAATAGCCCTTGGAATTAATCGAGAAATTCCCCTCGCTAGCGTGTAAATAAAAAATACGCCGGTGTGACCGCGTAGAAAGTAACCCGCACCGATCGTCCGACTATTAGAGATCGATCGAGAGCGGACGATCGGTGCGGATTTTATCCGCGCAGAATGTCCGTGTCGGACATTCCGTGCGCGCCTTAAATGTCTGACGGACAATCCGTGCGGAAGAGGTCTCGCACCAGTAGTCCGCCTGCCGCACCGAATGTCCGTACTCTAGTCCACAAATATACATAGTCAATATAGTGGAGGCTGTTAGTGCTAAATAGGGGTTGTTTGGTGCAGATTCTTCTAAAAGCACCAAATTTGGCCCAGAGGTAGATTATACCATACTTTTACGATTTCTTCCGGACGCCAAGAAGGGCACCCTCTAGGTATGCCATATTGGGCAAATCCAAAATGGCCGCCATCTGAGTTAAAGGTCAAGCGTAGTTCCAAAAGGAAAAGCGGTTGTATGATAATAGTTTATATATTTATGGGGTTTTGAGGGTCAGAGAATCTGATGTTGATGTTCTTTCATCGATTTGAGGTCTCCTTGGGGCTGCCATACTGGTCATATTGGTCAAATTCAAAATGGCCGCCATCTGATAGTTACAGGTCAGTGTAGTTACGAAAGAAAATGGACTAGTATAATAAAAGTTTATATATCTATGGGGTTTTCGGGGTCAGAGAATCTGATTATGATGTTGCTTGTATCAATTGCAGGTCTCCTTGAGGCTGTCATGCTGGCCATATTGGCCAAATAAAAATTGGCCGCCATCCGAGTTAAAGGTCAAGCGTAGTTTCAAAGGGAAAAGGACCAGTATGACAAAAGTTGATGAATTCATGGGGTTTCCGGGGTCGGACAATCTGATTATGATGTTCTTTTATCAATTTTATTTCACCTAAGGCTACAATGAAGTCCATTTCCTGGTTGAAGAAGATGAGGGAAGATGCGCCAAATTCACACTTGAGTGGGTTTAAATCTTGGCCTGCGCCCATATGTTTCATCAATATGCAAACTTTCCTCTGTGAAATGCATAATAAATTCGTTTTTCGAGGATTGGCAAGGAAAATAGATAAACAGTAGAAACAGACCATGAATAAAGAAATAAACAGCTTGTTTGATTTGTTTTGAAGCATAATATTCAAAGACCCAAACAGCTTTATCTTTATCATCCATATAAATAACGTCTATAATCACTGTCAGACGGGAGATAATACCAATACGAAATGCATTAAGCAACGTCTAGACATAAAGGTCGAATCTCAACTTTAGTTTTCTCATTCTTCTTTACATTTCGAAGCGTTACATTATACAGGGAATTTAATCCCTTTTTCTACAAATACATCAATGCCCCCATTTAAGCATACTTTGAATCTGGTCACGCTTCGAAATTGATATCCCTTGATATTTAAATTGCACTGCTCCTACTTCGTGCTTTTTTCACACTCTCCCTGATATATAAAGAGTGCTTTCTCTATTTGATCATCAACAGAAGCAAAATGCTAGGCCACGAACTTTTCGAAGCGTGACCAGATTCAAAGTATGCTTAAATGGGGGCATTGATGTATTTGTAGAAAAAGGGATTAAGATCCCCTGTATGATGTAACGCTTCGAAATGTAAAGAAGAATGAGAAAACTAAAGTTGAGATTCGACCTTTATGTCTAGACATTGCTTAATGCATTTCGTATTGGTATTATATCTCCCGTCTGACAGTGATTATAGAAGTTATTTTTTAAGGACAATAAAGATAAAGCTGTCCGGGTTTTTAAAGATAATGCTTCAAAACAAATCGAACGAGCTGTTTATTTCTTTATTCATGATCTGTTTCTACTGTTTATCTATTTTCATTGCCAACCCTCGAAAACGAATGGCCCTTGTCCCCCCCCCCCCTTCTACAGCAAACTTAGAAGAGAGAGAAAGGAAGAGAAGGGAAAGGGAAAGAAAAGAAAGGTACGGGAGATCAATTGTGATTTTTCCCACCAACGCGGTGTGGATCGAAGGCGAAAGGCCTTTGCCTGCCCTCCCCTGGCAAACAAAAAGAGAGAGAGAGAGAGAGAAGGAAGGAAAAGAAGGGAAAGGGAAAGAAGAGAGAAGAGGAAAGGAAAAAGAAAAGAAAAAGGCGAAAAGAAGGAGATTGGGAGGCCGGAAGGGCCTTGCCGCCCATGCTGTTGCCCCCCCCCCCCCCCCCCCCGCGCAAAACAAGAGAGAAGGAAGGAAAGGGAAAGAAACAAAAGAGGAAAAGAAAAAAAGGAATATCAGTCGCAATTTTTCTGCAAACAAGATGTGGATCGCGGAGAAAGGCCTTTGCCTCTGCCCCCTCCCCGACCACCCTACCCCCCTCCCCGCCAAAAAAAAAGAGAGAAAGAAGGGAAATGGAAAGAAGAGAGCTAAAATGGAACACAAAAGAGGAAGAAGAAAAGAAAAGGGTGAAAAGAAGCAGAGATCAGTTGCGATTAATTCCACCAAAATCGCGTGGATCAGGGGGAGGGGGTGAACGGCCCCTGCCACCCTCAGCAAACTTAAATGAGAAAGAGAGAGAGAGAGAGAGAGAGAAAAGTAAGGGAAGTGAAAGGGAAAGAGGAGAGAAAGGGACAGAAAACAAAGAGGAAGAAAAGAAAAGGATTTAGGGAAGATCAGTTGCGATTTTCATTGGTTGTTCTTTTATCATTTTACAATTATCATTGTACAAATGTATTTATATATTCATTTATTTATTCCTGTTTGATAACAAAAATATGAATATAAACTCATAAACTCATAACAGCAACAAAATGTTGGAGGAAATTATCTTGCTGGGAGCAAGAAGCGCAAAAATGATCATGCATTTGCATGTACATGTAAGTGTATCATTAATATAATTCATATTGTTTAATTACATCTTGTGAAATAGTATGCATTCAAGCTTTGGGGATTTTTTGTTGGTGTATTTGTATGAAAGAAAGCGTTTGGAGCTTATAATGCACATGTTGCAATTTCAGGTGCAACTTAGTGTTCAAATATGGAACACGCACGGCCAGGCACTAGTGTAGGAAATCTTCAAATTTTAATAAGGTATATGACTAAATTACTTGTCTGTTGCCTTACGAAAAAGTTTATATTTAGTCAGGCCTGAATTGAGTCGCAAAGCAATTATTATGTTAAAAGGAAAAAAAAAACATATTTGATGACACTCGAAATTCCCCAATAACCAATACGATTGGAGAGCGAGTACTCGTTTTTGTTTTTCTTCAAAACTTACTCAACTATAAATAGCTGGCCCGGATACTTGAGCCTCTCACAAAACTCAAGTATAGGCCCGATGTGTCGTCAGTGGCGTCGCTAGTCCTTTTTCAGTGGGGGGGGGGGGGTATAGAGGCCAACGATTCCCGACAAAACAAGCCACCAATTAATTACTGACAAAATTAAATGTTCCAATATCTACAAATTTAACCCTATAAACCCGGGGCCAAAGGCTAAATTGTTATGCGCACATGGTCATTTTCGTCGATGACATAAATATAAAAATTATTTCGTCAACTTAGTAAGCATCATAGCTATATATTTTAATGTAGGCGCGTAGC